TTTTTTTTTTTTTTTTTTTTTTTTTTTTTTTGCAGAATGATGAAATGGGTTTGCGCTATGTTGAACTTTGATGAGCCCTACAGACCTGTAATGATTTGCAGGAATGATTGCAACCTTTAATGAACATCTAAGGGACTGAGTTATGTTTGTATTGATTGAGTTTTTCAATTGTTGTAGCATTTCAACTGTGTATAAATTTTTGCCTTTTTTTATCTTCAGTTTGTGTGTTGTTGATGGAAGTTATAATGGTTTCGCATTTAGGCAATTGCTTGCTCAAATTGTGTTTCACTTTGTTTGATGATGCTTTGGAAAATTTAGGGTTGATGATTTGGGATCAATGTATTTTAATAATCTAGGTTGGTGTTTTGAATCACTTGGCATTGATTTGTCATTTTGCAGATTATTCATTTTTCTTTGTTGTTTGATGATGTCTTGAATTGGACCGCGGTTTTATGAAATGGGGGTATTGAAATTTTGCATAACGAGTTATAGCTTTGGTAGATAGTGATGAAGCAAAGATTATAATCCAACACTTGATCTGAGATAACAAAGTGATTGTAAACCTTCCTTTTTGCTTCTGAATCTACTTGGCGTATTATCTTTTTCACTTTTTCAAGAAATGCCAAGCTGTGTTTAGTGAATGGAAAGGTTTTCCGATTTAAGAGTTATCTTGTCTGTTTTTCACCCTAAATAGTAGTACAAAGTATTAGCGTGCATTTGGTATTTTGAGATGTGTTTTTAGATTATATTTTTTATTATGCTTTTTTGGCTTGCATAATTGCATCAGCATCTACTACCTATGTGAGTCTTTCTGATTGACTTGTCTATGCTTTGTAGTAGCTGGATTTATGTATGTGGACTTGCTTTCAAGATCCTTCCTTTTTCTTGCTTTTTCTATGATACTCATCAAATGAGAAAAATTACAGAACACCTTTCCACAAGGCAGATATCGATGAAGATTAGAACGAATTTTCCATGAGTTGGATTTGATAACTGGATATTCATTTCATACACTTACAATTTCCAAATTCCATTATCTTGAACTTTTATTATTGTCTGTATGAATTATGATCTGTTCTGTCTGATCTAACATTCTACATCTCATTCAATAGGAGGTTGATCTGAAAACTAAATTATTCTGCATTCCTTTGCCACCTGTAGCATCTTTCGACACGAATGTAGCATATTTCTCTATGTTACAGTATTAATTTATTAAAAAAATTATTTAACAATATCTCATGGTAATATTTATGTTTTCTTCCTTTTACTTTTCTAGTTTAGCAAACGTTCTTCTTCTTCAAGACAACTTGCTTATACATAAATTTCAGCTTCCATTGTAGATTCACATTTAACGTGCGAAATGTTAGCACAAACTACCCTTTTGAGACTTTCGTCAGGAGTTCTTTGATTCACATTTACGTTAGAACTGTCTACAATTAATTTTTCCTCCTAAATGTATAGTATTAGAGCTAATAATTTTACTATGCAAACAGATTTAAAAATAAATTTATTGAATACCAATTATTTTTTTATTATTTCAACATCACCTTATTAAGAAATAAGTATGTTCTGAATATTATTGTGTATTTTGATTATTTTACGGATTGCATGAACCATATGATTATCATTGTCTAAGATGAATATTGAACAAACGTTTTTTATTTAAAATTTGTCTAATTTGGTTATGTGAAAATGTCAAATTTTCATGTGGTTTATATATTATTACCGAGAATTCAAAAAGGCTATACCGGCAGATCTAGACTAAGATTTAAGAAGGTCCAAACACACATGAATTGGTACACCCACGCATAGTTGATGGCACTCAATTTCATTTCTACTACCAACCATGACCCGAAGTGGATTGAGGGGTTATTTCTTGTATAAAATTGTGTGTTGCCCCCATCAATAAGGATGATTGGATATGCGGCCCACCAATTGTAATGTCTCAGATGCCAATTGACTTGCTAACGCATGGAGACTAATTTGGGCTTGGGTGTGATTAATGGGGTCCAATTTCAGGTTAGAATTCGGGGACTAGAGACATCCTAAGAAGAAAAAGACGAGGAAAGAGATAATACTTTTTTGTTGTCTCTCCATGCATAATATTTTTCGTAAAGATAATAAAGATTACAAAGATGATCATAATGAGAATTGAATCTAGGTCCTCATGCTTCTACCTCAACTCCTCCCATCCAACCACTAGGCTAGGTCTCCTCATGCATAATGTTTACAACTGAATATATAGCATACCTAAATGAGAAAATAAAGTGACAGAATGTAAAATAACATATTCTTGGCATGTTCATATGGCCCGAGCTATAATGTGTGGACCATAGTCCTTATATCAGCCCACTTCCTATCACAAGCTTTGTCTTCTCATCCCACAGAATATTGACTGTAAACATTGTCTTCTCGATTGGAAAAAAAAAAACAAATTGTTATGCCATAATTTTAAGTTTTTGTATGGCTAATGTCATGCAAAAAATATTCTCGTGTTATCATAATGTATATCAGTTAGGATAAGAAACATCATGTTTACATTTATTTTTCATAAATAAAGATAAGAATTTTGGAGGATAATTATGGTCTGGTCTTTCAATAAGATGAAAAGTAAGAGATGAGAAGAATGCAATTACTTAAGTTACAAGATCAAGTCTAGATTAAAAAACAAAAGGTTTATTTAGATAAAAATAAATAAGTTTTTTTTTAATGAAAATTTTAAAAGATAATGGTCTCAATCAAAATAGAGACCATTGGTGGAAAATATATCACTTTTATTTATTATTATAGACAACAAAATTGTGTCTAATCCAAAATTTAATAAGAAAATATTAACCTAAATATATTTATACAAGAGTTTGCATCTTTATGACTTATTTATATTTAATGATAAATAAGTTTATTTGTATATGTACTAAAAAAAATTAAGTATGAAGCCCTATTAAATAATATGTCATAACCTAATATTGTTTCATTAAATGCTACTTTAAAATAATGAAAAAAGGATCATCCAATGGAATTTAATTTAGTGATAAAAACTAACCTTGGAACATCCTATTTTTCATAAAATATAATATAAATATTTATTAAGAATTTTGATATTTTTATTTTATTAATAGGAGTAATCAAATATTTATTTTAATTATGTAATATATTTTATAATATATTATATGATATTTTGTTAAAAAATAGTATAATATTTTATTAAAAGGGGAAAGGATCTTTGGATAACTTGTGCTAATATGTTTAACTAGAAGGTTAAAAGGGGGGAAGGGGGGTTAAGATTTTTAAAAGAGAAGTTTTCTGATCAAATATTTTTTACGCCTCTATTTTCATGTATGCGCTTCAGAGCTCGGAGGATAGAAATAGAAAGGAAGTCACTCTGATGTCGCATACCCATCAATCCATCATCTATAACTTATTTAATTAAGAAGGGAGTGAAAAATCTCGCTCTGGGTGTAGATTTATATGTCGGGTAGTGAAATTGACCCCCAATCCTATGTATGTTGTGTGCTTATGTATGAGGAGTCTCCCCTAATGTTTCTGTTATGTTTCCTATTCTTCTCACTCATAATTAATTGCATTAATTACTTGAATGAATGATTAATTTCATGTTTTGGATGAAAAATTGTATGATTTAAGGTCTTTGTAAGTTTCCATGGAAAATCCTAAAGGAACTTGTTGTGATGATAGTGAAAGGATAGTTGTTGTGTATGTAAATTGTATATTTTAGAAGTGTAATGTAACCTATGTAGAGTTCTTACCGATTGGATTGAGAGAAAAGAATTTGGGTGAGAGTTGTGTCTTGTTATGAAAATTCTAATATGAATATACTTTGATATTTATGTGATTTCTCTGTGTGTGATTAATGAAATTGAGTTCCAATTGTTGGGTTAGAAATTACACATTTGGGGCTACATTTTAGACTTAAGAATCACATAAAAATATTAAGGAATGACCAAGTTATGTGAGTTAAAAGATAAATCTCATATTTTGTGTGCAAAATATAACGTGCATATATTATAAGCCTTTTGAGTATATTTAAATTACAAAATTAGGTTTTGTGATCTTCATAAAAGTTATAACATTAGATGTTAGCTTTCAAATGTCGTTAGAATCACATAAAAATGATGTCTAGAACTCAAGTTGTGATCAAATTTATGAGCAAAGGTTAGACTGCCAGATTTAAGCTGAAATGTTATGATTTTGTATTTATTTAAAATAGTAAATAACATATTTAGCTCTTGAGGTCAACATAGAAGTTGGAGATAATTGTCTTATCTTTCTAATAAAATTAAGATAAACTTAATAGCATATATGTAGCTCTAGCTAAGGTGTTTGAGCCACACAATATTGTACAATATTAAGTTATGAAAATATAGTATGTAAGTGTGGTATTCATATGATTATGAGCTATGTATGAGTTTTAGTGATGTGATCCCTTATGACACTTCTTGTTAATATTTAATTGATATAGTTGAATTGTTAATTTCTATATTAAGAATGGTTGATGATTTTATGATATGGGATTAGTTGACAATGAATTAGTGAGATCATGTGAAATGTTATACATAGAGTCTGTTTGACATGAATCATGTACATAAGTGTTTTTTTAAGGGTATGATATGAAACATGCCGCTAGGGAAGGTCTCTTGTGTAAAAGCTTGAGAGCTAACCTTGGGAATAACTCGATTTGGAAGTCTTAGTCCTGCCTCATGAAAATGCGCAGAAGGTGTGACTTGACATGTACTCCTAGACTACTCTAGTGTGTTGTTAGCGACAATGCACAAGTGTGATATGTGATATTTTTATTGACACAACATGCATGATAGCATGTAGTTCATGCCCATTGCATTTGCATTATAATCTTATATGTTATTGCTTACTATGCTATGAATGAGTTAGATATGATGATGTGTAACTATGTATGCTATATCATGTTATATGTGTTATTTGTGTTTGGCTAGCTAATTTATATTCTTGCATCGTGAGCCAGAGTGAAATATTTTTCAATCCCTTTTCTTTTATATTTTCTTCTTGTGTTTTTGCAGGTAATAATCAACATGGTATTGATGATGTAGGTAATGAGACTTAGTCCTCAATGTTGGGTTTTACTCTGATAGGACATGTGACAAATAACTAAAAAAGGGAAGATGAGAGGTAACAAAAAGAGAGAAACAAAAAAAGTGGGAAAAAAAGAGAAATAAACAAGAAAACAAAAGTCAAGCAAAATCTCAAAGATTTTTATGAGATTGTTGAATGAGTTAATTGTATGTAAATTTTACTAAAAAGTCTCACAAAATCCATCATTCAAAATAATCCATTGAAATCTTTATGTTTTTGAATATCAACAAAAAAAAATTAGTGAAAAAATCTTAATTAAATATAAAAAAAAATTTATGTACTCCTAAAAAGATATTAATTGTGTTAATTAAATACCATTATATTTTGATATAATCTTAAAAAAATCTTAATTATTTTAATTAAATACCACATGAATTTTTATATTAAAAAAAGTCTTAATTGAATATCACAAATTTTTCTTGTAATAAAAAATCTTTTAAAATTTTTTAAAATCTCAATCCAA